ATCGGATGTAAATGAGTTTCATATTAACTATTTTTATATAGGAGTATTTCTATATATCACTTAAGAAACTGATAATTATAATCACATTACAAATGACTAAATTTTGATCCCTGAAATCTTCAGTAATACCAATGTTCACTTTGTCTGGTTTTGTTGCAGCATGCCCCATATAATAATATCAATATAAACATAAATAAATGTGGCGTGAGAATCCCGTCGTTCCCTGGTCAATTTTGAAAAATGTAAAAAGATCTACAACTTTGGACCCTTGTTTCTCAGTCCACGCATCAAAAATTTATAATCGTATAAGATCCATGCCCTTAAATGAAATAGTGTGCATTGCCAAGACTTGAGCGATAATGAAATGGTGATATCATATACTATATGGTATTTTAGAATTGAGAATATTTCATAGTTTATTATTTATTATGTGTCAATTTAACATTACTATTTTTATTACATTTATATTGGAAAAAAATAATTGGTGTTCCGCACACAGACTAAGAAGGATCAATTTAAAGAAATTGTGTGGTTAAACTTCGTTTATGTGATCTTTTATTTTTCATTTTACATATATGAATAAATTATTTTTCTTTTCTACCTGAATTAAGCACCTATCTACTGAAATATAAATAATAAAATATAAATTAAAGGTTGAGTGATGAAGAATAATAAATAAATAAATGCTGATGATATGAAAAAAAAAAGATTTCTTTGTATATCGTCTTTTTTATATAAATGAATGATGAAAAAAAATAATGATTGAAGTGAATATGTATGGATGTGGAAAGCTTATTAATAAAAATACATTAATATATGAACTTAAAATACATTTTTCTTTTTTTTTCCATATTTATGAAAAAAACCCCCAGACAAATTCTATTACAATATGATTATGTTTTCTTTTTTTGTTTTTTTTTCCTTTTTCCCTTTCTACAAAATTTCACAAAGAAAACATTTTTTGCCAGTTTGTGCATATTGATCATCACTTTTATCAACTGGACCCCATATTGATGGTACTAAGTTATCTCTAGTATTTTTGCAATAATCAATCAATCTAAAGATATATATATTTAGTAATTGGTTATACCGTAATAAAATAATTCAATAATAATAATAATAATAATAATAATAATAATAATAATAATAATAATAAAGTATTTTAAATTAAATTAAATTAATTACTTTTTGCTAGCTTGGCTAACTTTGACTCGTGGACGATCTAAATCTTCCCGCAATCTTTGATTAAATTCCAAGACTCGACGAAGTTTTAGCTCTGATAGAGTTTGTTGTTTATGCCTATGCATCATTATTTGTTTTATCTATATATTTTGTTATATAGCTATTGATTGTTGTATTTGTACAAATGGCTGAAATGAAAATTGAAATTAAATAATAAAAAAACAAGTATACAATGTGTATATGATTTATAACTAATAAAACATTAAAATAAGAAAAAGATCTATTTTCAAAAAAAAATAATTGAAAGCAAGATTTCATTATAAAAAAAATTTCAAATTACCTTTTTCAACAAAAACCCCTTTAAGTGCCCTCTCTTATTACTATTAAATAAAAATTTGTCTTTTTTTATTTATGTGTTTTTAAGGTAAAAAAAAAAATTATAAGTATAAATATATAAAATATAAAAATATATATTATAAGTTTAAAAAAACTCACCAAAAAAGAAAGAATGTAAGTAAACCACAAGAAATGGAATAAAAAAATTTAACGGTAGGAAGAGAAGTAAAAATAAAGAGAAAAGATGAGAGAGGGAAAAGGAAGGTTACCAAAGTTGGGTTTACAAATACAAACAAATTTAATACTTGATTTATCATTGTTACACTGTGGACTGTTTAAATTTAAATTAATTATTATTGTTGTTTTCTATATGTGCAAAATAAAAAGATATTTTTGTATTATTTATAAATGAAAATTTTTTTTGAGTATATTAATTATTATGGAAAATTTTTTATTCTGAAAACCCCTCCCAATGAATATATATATCATTTAAGTAATGTTGTGAAGTTTTAAGTCCAAATGGATCAAATGGAAAAAATTTTGACATTTCCCATAAACTTTCCTCCTCTTCGTCATGACGAATTCTATAATTCGCATTACATTGTAAAAAGTTCACTTTATTCGTTATGTAAATAAATACTTCTACAATAGATTGTGCACACATCTATTTTGAAAAAATAAACTTATTTAATAGAGAGAAGAAAAATGCAACCAACGAAAAATAAATAATTATCAAAACAACAAACCTCCAAAGGTTTAAAATTTGAATTTAGAATAGTTTTGATCCAATCAGTTTCTTTACACCATCCATTTTTATTTGCGAGATCGCTCCATCTATAACAGAAGATGTACATTATATCTGTTAACACTGAATAGAAATGTTTATTTTGTTTGGCTTGTTTGTCTGCAACTGACACTTTATATTTGCATATGTATCTTTCAATCCAACTGCCTACAATATGAAATATTTGACGTAACTCTTGTTTTTTAAGAAATTTGGCACGGGCAGCAAACGATGCAAGATATTGGGTTGCCGAGAATCTAATGATTTCTGATTCTTGTTCCCCAAATGTTTTTCGTAGAATTAGTGTTAAATAACGCCTTGAAAATGAATAGTCAAGCGAAACGTACCAAAAAATTATGAATTGAACATATCGCGATTTACAAGTGTGCAAAATTCTCTTTTCAAAAACATTCATCAAAACTCTGTAAATTTCCTCTTGTCCTTTCTTTGTAGTATTTTTATAACACCAACTTAAATAATCAAACAACAACTTCATCATACAATCCAACTTTTCTAATAAATCTTTAATGTCAAGTATTGTGACCATTTGTGAAGTATTGTCCATATTATCACCATCACTTTCATCATAATATCCTGTTAACATATTAAAATCATTATAATTGACATCGTTATTTTGATGACTTTGTGAGGACGACAACAAATTGGTTTGGATTGTTGATAGTTTTTGATATACCATTGAATTTAAAGAATCTGAATTATTTCCATCACCATAAAGTGATATATTATACTGTGGAATTGAATCTTCTAAATCTTTTATATCATTAAATTTTCCTTGTATCTCTGTCTATATTAAATAAATAAATAAATATATATATACGCAATTTAATATATATGGGATTTTAAATATTTTCATTTAAAATATAAATTTACATACATCGATTTGAATCAACTGACTAAATATTAGTTGTAAAACATCAGATTGCAATTTATTCGTGTATTCCAAAAGTTGTAACAAATTTTTTAGATAAGTTATATGAACATATAAAGGTTCTGCTTTGTGTGGAAATTCTTCAACTATCAATTTGTAAAGTAGATCAACTGAATTCGGAGTTATTTTTATAATACTTTTCACAGCTGTATGAACTCTTCCATTAATTTTTTCAAGATTATTCGGTATTCTTCCTGTTTCATCAGGTCCTATAATATATATAGGTATATAATTTTATATAATAAAGATCTGTTTAGCACAAAATTCTTCTGATTCTACTCTACTACTCATAACCACTACTAAAATCAACTCAAAAATAATATGGTGTTTACATACTGAAGGCAAATTTTTGTACCAGCATTTGTAATACACGGTTTTGATAAAGAGAAGGATTAGATGAAATCAAATTCGATAAGAACATTATGTAAGCTAATGCAAGATTGTTATCATGTTCTGTCCAATTTAGATTGAAAATCACGTCAATCAAATCCGTACAACGTTCATCTAAATGGAAAGCATTGTGAGCAAAGGCCATAATCCAAACACGTAATTTTTTTATATCCACTATGCCCTTTGAATATTCCTTTAAACTTTTAATAAGTTGATTATAGTTATCATTATAACCCTTCTTTTTTTTAGGAAAAAAAAAGTAAAAAAAATTAATATGTATGGTTAAAAGTTTTATATTTGGAAATAAATTCAATTACTTTTTTCATTTCAGATATTGCAGATCGAATAACCGTTATCATTAGAGAATATTCATTTTTCATTTCTGTTGGTCCATAAAATTTTAAATTTTCTTGTTGCATGGTTTTTTTTGTTTAGGTGAGAGACTGTTATTTGTTATGTCTTTTATTGTATTTACAAAATTTATTTTAAATGATTTTTTTGGAGATAATGGCAAATTTATGACGATCATCGCCAAAATCAATTTTCGATATTAATATTAATAGTAATAGTAATAGTAATGGTGATAGTGATAGATAGTAATAGCAATAACAATAGCGATAGTAATAATAGATAATGATGGTAAATAGTGATAATCGTAATAGTAATAATTTTAATAGTAATAGTAGCCAAAATTATTCGGACTCTAATCTGAAATAATAGCAAAATATCCAGCTTCAATCCATATACTGTATATTACCATAAATGAATGGCTTAGTGGTTGAAGATATAGGCTTAAGGCTGAGCAAATCAATTTCAAAGAAACTGGATTCGATTCAGGTTAAACCAGATTCCTAATATTTTTTAATGTCATATTAATATATTTTAGATTTTCAATTTTTAGTTGATATTATAATTCCTATTTGTTAGTCTCATTTCAATGAATTTTATATTGAAGCAAAAAATTTAAATTCAATTATAATTCATTGAAACAAGGATTACTGTATTGTTAACATTAATATTAATAATGATAACAAATAGAAAGCAATAAATATGATGAATGATGATAATTGCATTGTTGGAAATAATGCTTCTTCAATAACTTCTTCAACAGACACAGCATAATGTGTTCAAAAAAGAACAAGAAGTGACTATTTTACAATCATGGAAAAGCCTAATGCAATTATTGCACTAGGTAAATATTTTATTTCATATAGTATATGTCAAATCAAATCATTATAAATTCAAATCAAAAATTAGGTGGTTCATTTGGTGCCTTAGGTATGGACTTTGTTGGGGCATTTAAAAGTTGAAAGAGAATTAGTGATTTAAATAATAGGTTTTGGACAATTTATCTCTCCCCATGGTCAATGATACTAAAAGTTAGCAAAACCACATCATACTACTGAAAAGTTTCCTCAATAGTGTGATCCTCATGTGCAAGCAAAGCAGCAAGTGAGCAAAACAAATCACATCAATGTTTTAGATTTATTAATTAACAAATTTCCAATCCAATTTTCATATTCCATTCATAGATTGTTATATACAATGAATCTCACTCAATTTAGCAGACATTTTATTTACTGATTTTATAGCAATCACGTGATATCCGCTAAATATTTAAATAATCAAATAACATCTGTCAGGTCCCTAAAAAAACCATTTAATATTGACATAACTATATAGTATTAAAGTGTTTATAAAACTGTCTTGTGAATTCCTCAATGACCATATAAAAGCTTAGAGTATTTTACGCCTTCTCAAATTTTTAAAGTGATATTCTTAGCTTTGAAGCGAAAAGCTAATCCTATTTTTGAATAGCCATATATTTATGTGGAGAGGAACTTTCAATATGAAAGTGTATTCGTTAAAAAGTTTTAGAATGAGATATTTTTAAAAAATCGTTCTGTAACACGAATGTATTGTGTAGCCTTTTTTTTTTTTTTAATATAGATCATTTTTTTTTTTTTTTACAAAAATCAATAAATATATCAATAATGGGTGGTATGTATCATTTTTAAAAATAATTTTATTTAGTAATTAATTTTAATCAATATATATATATATATATATATATAAAGCATACAAGTATCTTGAAGAACTTTATAAAAAGAAACAGTCTGATGTTCTTCGCTTCTTACTACGTGTAAGATGTTGGGAATACAGGTAGCTAGTTTAGCTTACACAATTTTAGGCATGAAATTAAAAAGCTTTATGTTCAAAAAAAAAAAATTTTTTTTAATAAAAAGAGAACATATATGCAGGATTGGAACATAAATATTTCATTGCCAATGATTGATTTTAAACATCAAAATTTTAAATATATATTTAATTAGACAATTAAATGTTGTACACCGAGCTTCTCGTCCGTCTAGACCTGATAAAGCTCGTAGATTAGGTTATAAGGTATACACGCTTATATATAGATATATTGCATATTAGTAATAATTCACACTTTACATATAAGTTAACATAATATACATATATTATTTTTGCATTTAAAAGGCAAAGCAAGGATACGTTATTTATCGCATTCGTGTTAGACGTGGTGGTCGTAAAAGACCCGTACCAAAAGGTGCTACATTTGGTAAACCAGTAAATCAAGGTATAAATCAACTCAAGTATCAACGTTCTCTTAAAGCAACTGCCGAAGAACGTGTTGGTCGTAGATGTAGTAATTTGCGCGTTTTAAATTCTTATTGGGTTAATCAGGTATGAAGAAGAAAATATTCATAATAATCATAAGCCATTAAATAATAATATTATTATTGAAGTTAATTAATTGATCGATTAATTAATTAATTAAGGATTCAACTTACAAATACTATGAAGTGATTCTCGTTGATCCTAATCATAAAGTGATTCGTCGTGACCCAAGAATCAATTGGATTGCGTCTGCTAAACATAAACATCGTGAATCCAGAGGTCTTACTAGTATTGGTAAGAAAAATCGTGGAATTGGTAAAGGTCATAGATTTAATAAGACAACAGGTGGTGGCCGTCACTCAAGTTGGTTACGTCGTAATACATTATCATTACGTCGTTATCGTTAAAAAAATATTATTATTATTTTGCGGTTGGGAAAAATAAATGAAAATTTAAACGTAAAAAGATTATTGCTAGCACTATAGAATTGGGAAGGAAATAATTATTATGGATAAAAAACAATACTGTTATTTCCATATTCAAGTTTAGCAAAATAAAAAAAATGTTACAAATATTTATTTATCATTAGGTGCTCCAAAACTTCATACGATTTTTATTTGTGTTGGTCAACAGTGAAAAATGATTTCATTATTATTTGTATTAATAAAAATTATACAATATATAAAAGTTTTGATGTACTCAAATCAACCTGCATGGTTAAGTTCGCTTTTGAAAGTTGTGTCCTTGGAAATTATAAATGCCTTTCCACAAAGTCAATTATAAATCTTCATTATATTAATTAAATATAGTTAAATAAATATACAAGTAAAAAATAAATAATTTTTCTTGTGCCAAATAAAATGTAAAAACCAGAGGATGTTGATTATAATCAGACTGTTTCTATATATTATTGTATGAAACAATCTTTGATTACAAGGTGATTTCAATCATTAAAATGTTTATAAGTTCACCTGGATTTAGAGTACAACAGCATGAACAAATCATATGATTACAAACCATTGATTTTCAATTATGGCTTTACAACTTGGACAACTTTGTGCATCATGTTAATCACTTTGAAGTTTCCAACTCTGTTTAGCATCCCTAACCAGTTTCTCTAGATTATTCTTTCCATAACGTAATTCAAAATTAAATTTCAATTCCCCATCTGCCTTCATATAATCACTTACTATTTTATGAATATTATATGTATGAACCATGCCTTTTCTCAAAATAAATAAATAAATAAAAATTTATATTGATTGATTATCAGTAGAAATAGTAATTAATTAATTAGAAATTTTTTTGAGAAAAAAAATAAACTTGCCAAGTTTTTTCACACCAACAGCAAAATGCAAAAAACATCTTGGACAAATACAATTTATCATAGAGCTTTTCTAACAGGAGCCTGACATAATTTTTGAGGACAATAGGTGATCAATGGATCTGTCTCAAGTTTTTGCTTTTCTACTAAATACAAATATCTATCAGAAGTTTCTTTATCAACCATCTCAGAAATTTCTTCTATTGCTAAGATATGTTTAATTGACAACCTAGTTCAGGACACTTGACTTGTGTGATTAATCCTTCCCTCATCAACATTTCAAAATATTTACAAATACAATTTTGACAAACACGTGTTGACAAGATTTAAGTTTTTCTTCAAGGCAAATTACACAATTGAAATGATTACTTATAAAATCTTGATATAAGGCTTGTACTTATAATTGATTTAAATCATTGTATTCTGGAAATATATAATATATATGTGTTAGTATAAAAGTTTAATTAAAAATTTCAAAAATACTTTTTTTTGATATTATAGCTTTTAACTAACCATCAGAAGGAATTGACAGTGAGATATATTCAAAAATCTAAATTATTATTTTGAATAAATTCAGCAAACTTATATATAAATAAATAATAAAGCAAAGAAATAAATCAATAAAGTAAATCATTTAAAATGGCTTTATATTTATTAGTGCTATTATTGTTATTATCACCATTATTGTCACTAGAAACAATCAACACATATCATATTCTTTTCTTCTTGCCAAAATTTTTTTAATTGATTTTCCAGTTGCTTTATTGAATCATTTTCAATCAACAACATTTGAGATTAAATTTTAATATTTATCAAATAGATAATTTCTGTCATCAAAAAAGTAATTTTCATAGGAGGCAAGTGCTTGATTTTCAGTGTTGTTAGCATTGTTATTAAAAATTTTTACAATCATCATCATCATTAATGAAATATACAGTGATTTCGTCTACCATTGATACTTGAATGGTGTGGATCAATTTTTCATATATGAAATTTTGTCTAATTTTTAAAAATTGAAAATTAAACAAATGTTAAAATGCTATTAAAAACATGAGAATGTTAATCTTGTTGCTTGTTTATTTGTACTGACTTCAAGAGCAAGGATTTCATTTTAATGTTTGTTAAACTTGGCATTTTCATTTAAATATTGCAATCTTTTTGCCCTGCTTTCCTAACCAATAAGGATATAGTGCAACAAAGGGCTGTTGATCACTTTCACAAATCCTAGGCACTTATTGGTTGGTTGGAATTTGGGAGTTCTTTGACAGACTAGCCCCAAATTCACTTGTACATTTGGGATTTGGGCAATGATGATGACAATAATGATGAAGATGTTATTGTTATTGTTATTATTATTATTATTATTATTATTATTATTATTATTATTATTATTAACATTATTGCTATTTCATAATTTCATAGAATCATTATAGAAAATTTAATGGAAAATTCAATTTTAATTGCAATCATCTTTATCGTCATTAAAAGGTAATTTCAGAAACAAGTTGTAATCAAAATCTTGTGAACCAGTATCTACTGTATTAATAGTTGTTGCGCTTTTATTTGAAAAATCATTAATGTTAATAATAGAGTTCATTTGATCGCCTCTTGTTTCTATTATTGTTGATTTCCTTCTTTTACTTGAATTAATGCTTTTCTTTATAGAATTCAGTTCTAATTTGTAGACAAGGAAAAATTATTTCAAAACCATCCATTGTTTGATTTTCTAGAAATATAAATAAAGCAGGTACCTAATTCCATTAAACATAGCTTTTGCTTTAAATTTTCATAGTCATTTTCCAATTCTAAAATCCTTTTACGTAATTTGACATCATGACTGTTGATGGTGGTGACTTCTTTGATTTTGTGATCTTTGTAATCTTCTTGATACTTGTAATTTATAAATTCTATGTATTCTTTTAATAATAATAATAATGTTATTATTATTATTTAAAATAAATTATATTTAAAGAATTATATATTAAACCTTCAATAGAATTTTCAATAGGTTTATTTTGTAAGATTATATAAGCCTATTATAAAAATTGATTAATCCTTCAATATACATATATGTGATAATATATAATAATAAGTTTATTTTTTTTTTACCAGACCAAATTTTAATTTATTAAATAAAATATTACAAGATTTATCATGTAATGGAGTAGATTCGAAATTATTTGGCATTTTTTTAAAAAAAATTCTTCGCGTCAAAATTTAATTATTATCATATTGATCAGTCATGCGACTTTATGCACGCGATCACGACCCAAAGAAAGCAAGAAAAAAATAACATTTTATTGGTTGTGTGAACTACAATCCAGTGGTATAAAATCAATCGGCGCACAGATTTATCATTTTTGCAAATTAGAGTTGAAGAGAGAGAGGGGAACGGTTTATTATAATTAAAAATTTTGTTTTCTCAATGACCTTCCAGCCACCCAAATATATTAATATTACATTGAAATTCAAAAAATTTTTCTAAATTAAATATTCAAAAAAGGCATCACACACTTCAGAAATCAAGTTTCGATTCAGAATGCGTTTGCGCTCACTTTTCACAAGACACTCTGTGGCCATTGATGAAAATATTTTCGCCACGGAAGGCAATGGATAGAGCATATTCCCAGATAGATTACAAAAAAAAAATTGGTTACATGTAATGACGAAATTTTAGACTTTAGTCATTGAGGTAATTAAAGTATTGACTAAAAGAATAGTTTCTCACCAGGGCCATTTTGACGATTTGGCTAAAGCAAAAACGCTTTACGTAATTAAAAACGCTTGACGTAATTAAAAACACTACGTAATTAAAAATGCTTGACGTAAGTGAAAATCACTTGATTAAATTGTGCGAGACTAATTATATTTATTTTACAAATTAAAGTCTTTTATTATTACATTTCATAAAATAAATCGTTTAACTTATGTTTTTTCGAATTTTGACTTTGAAGTTAATTACGGGTAATAGTAACATTAATAATGTCTTTAGAGAAACACATATAGGCTGATCAATAATTGGTACGTAAAATGACTTTTACATAGTATATGAGACAGGTTTAGACGCGGTGTTTGCGAGTTTTAATTTAGAAAGAAGTTTTAAAAGTGATAAAATAGTAAACAAAGAAAAAGAAGAATGTCAAAATTCTTTATTGTTGAAGCATTGAATCTTGTTATTTAAATGATGCAATTTTTATTAAATTAGTCTAAAAGGCGTAATAGGTAATTATTTATTAGTGACATTCATTACCTCATCGTAAAAAAAAATCAATAAATAGTCCTATATTAATGTTATTATCACCAAAAGAATTGTTTGTCACGCGCTATTCAGCTCTCCACAAAAAGGAAAATAAAAAAAATTCTCATTAAAACACCAAGTCGAATTTTAAAAACATTTATTTATAATGTCATATATTAAACTATTATCATTAGAAAGAGAGGAGTTTGTATATAAAATTAATGCTGAAATGTATAATAATGCATTGGCTAATTCTAGTGAAGAAAGTAGAAAAGAATATTTTTTTTCATTAGTCAACAAAAATAAGGAGCTTTCTGAAGATGAAAAAGAATATTGTAAAGAAAAGTTTATTTATGATTTTGAATTAAGAAATGCAAGAGGTAAATTAGGCAAACAAAAAGAATGTAACAAATGTAAATTGACAAAATATTCCGATAGATTCTGTGAAGGTTGCATTAGTTTACAATTACAGAGTCTTTTTGCTACTTGGACGTCTGGAAATAACATTGTTGATAACTTTATTCAACAATGTCAAATGAAATCATCTCTGCCAAACCATATTTTAGAATGGATACCTTTTGAGCAATTTGAAGATATAACAAAGTTGACAGAAGGTGGATTTAGTTCAATTTATACTGCGGAATGGACAAAAGGAAATATAATTGATTATGATGAAAATAAAAAAGAATTTAGTTATTTTGGAAGGCTACTAGTAGTGTTGAAAAGTTTAAATTATTCGAGTAATCCAGGAAAAAGCTTTTTTGATGAGGTTGGTAGTTGTCATTTAAAACTATACTATATTATATATAATATTAATTGATTTTACATTTATTTTCAGGCAATGAATTATTATAAAATTAAATCAGGGATTATTCCTTGCCATGGTATAACTAAATTCCCAGATAATGGAAATTATGCAATTGTTTTACCTTATGCTCCAGAAGGAAATTTAAGGAGTTATTTGCAAAAAAATCATTTAAACTTAACATTAAAAGACAGAATTACAATCTTTAGATATTTATGTAAAGCATTATATAATATACATGAAAAAGATTTAATACATTGTGATTTACATAGTGGTAATGTATTATTGCAAGGAGGTTGTTGTTTTATTACAGATTTGGGATTATGTGGACCAGTTGATGAAAAGTCATCAGATAAAATCTATGGAATTATACCATATGTTGCACCCGAGCTACTTAGAGGCAAAATTAATATAAAGAACACCAAAGAATCAGATATCTATAGTGTTGGGATGTTAATGTGGGAAATATTTGCAGACCATCCACCATTTGATGATAGAGCTCATGATCACTGTTTAATTTTTGATATATGTGAAGAAGGTTTACGACCACCAATATTACCTGAAATGCCTGATGATTATGCACAAATGATGGAGAAGTGTTGGGATGTGGATCCATCAAAAAGACCAACTAGGAGAGAGCTTTTTGCCTTTGCTAAAAATAAGCATAGTGAAGTTTTTAAAAATAATGATGATAATAACAGCAATAATACTACTGCTGGTGGTGGTGATGGTGGTGGTGGTTTACAACAAGTACACAAACCACATCCAGACGCATACCATACAAGTAGAATATTAGACGAAGAGATTGCTAAATCTAAAAGCTTAAAAAGTTATGCAAGTAATGATAGTTCGTTAAACAACCTTGGTTTTAATGAAGGTGAACAAAATTTCATTATTAATTAATTGGAAATTGCTATCCATTAATTATTACTAACAATATTTTTTAATTAATAAACATTAGGTTCTAGTAATTAAAAGAAACAATCAATGAATGACTAATTTAATCTCCAGTATAAATTCATTATTTATCTATCTTTTTATTTTATTTTTATTTCATTTCTAAATTTTGAAGTAATAAATTTTATAGTTTTATGATTCTTGTTAAATGGTGATATTTAGTGTAGCTCTTTGGTTAATGCCGATTACGGCTTAACTTTTGGGCTACTCTTGTCAATTAATTGTTAGCAATTCAGTGCTTGTCAATTAGTTCTTTCTTATCTCTCTTACAAAGCTCAAAGGCTTCCTTTTATTCATTGCAATCGATTTATTTCAGTCGCTTATCCTTGTTTATATCGTTTTGGTTTATAAATTCAGTAGCTTGTTTAACAGCCTTACGTTTACGATTACAATAATACTAATAATACTACCATTACTTTCAATTAACTATTGAACAATACTTCATTAACGCCACTAGTTAACCAACGTTAATCCTAACCTTGCTTGCAAATAAAACGTGATTTTTACCCATGCTCCACAATTGTTACCTTTTACCAAGGCACTACACTTGTTGCTTTTATTAAAGCGCCTTAAACAAGAAAATAAAGACAACGTTTTTATTTTTAAAAGTTTATTAAAGATTAATTTAATAAAAATAATGATTCTATCAGAGTTTTATTTTCCCTTGCTTTTTCAAGCGAGGACCAAAGTTTACACAGTAATTTGATATTATAAAAAGTTTTCGTGTAAAATCTTCATTTGATGATAATTATGTATACGTAGGTCTACACTAAAATTAGTCGACCCTAGAACATAAAGCACTTGATCATTAATATTAATATAAGAAATACCCGAGTTTAATAATAAATGAGTGTGTGGAAACTGAATTTGTATTCAGCCAAAGAAAAAATTAGCTCCTTGGGAAGGAGAGATCAGGATGCACAAGAAAAATATAAAAAAGAAGACTTGGAATATATATTTTATAGACGTCAAAGCAATTTTACTTGCGTCGTTTTTGAACGTAATAGTTTTACAACTTTTGTAACATCTCATCAAACAACATTAGTCCAAGAACAGTTTTCCCGCCTAGTTATTCTACTTTTTTACCTTTGGAGATTTTATTCCATATTAATGATAATAATAATAATATACCAACTATTTGTTTGTTCTTGTGATAAAGAATCTTATGGAGATGAACATGATTACCTATATAATGTAAAAGACAATAAATTCACACCACACTTGGATTTCAATCGAATATAAATAACATAAACCAATTTCTAGAGTAAGTATTATTTGAGAACCAGAGCAAGAGAAAAAAAACACTGGTTGATGTTAAATAATTATTTGTAAGCTTATTTTTTATTTACTCGGAGCGGACAATGGACCGATGACGTATAATAAAGTAGCATCCTTAATTACAAAGTCAGCAAAGCGGACAACAAATGCAGTCAAAGCTGTTGAACCTAAAAGCCGATGACAATGATCTTGGCGCCGAAGCACGCGGTTACAAAGTCAGCAAAACAATCTTGTCAATAAGGGTCCTAGATAAAAAAGAATAGTTCTAGCGAAATATAAATCCAATTTACAAATCGACAATCTAGAAGACATTGCAAGTATGCTACATATATTTCACCCTTTCAATCGTAAGTAACAATAAATTTATACATATATGGGGCGTGTTGTGAAAAAAGCAATTTTGAGTTAAAGGTATAATAAATTACTTGAAATACAGTTAATTTTCTTATATGAAATTCGTCATAAAGATTAATTCTAGCTTAGAAATTATACTTTTATTAATATAATTTAATAATCAATCATGATTTTTTCCGTGGTCCATTTTCTATTTTCCCATATATGCTAAATATTTTTAAATTTCTATTCCTCGTAATTATCAAACGAATCAACGAATCAACTATCTCGTGTAACGATTCTGATAGATAGATAGATGATAACAGTAATAAATAGTAATAGGAAGTTATAAAAGGAATAGCAATATATAAGAAATATATAGTTGGAATTGATAGGTGGATGATTCCCATCTCATTAAAGAATAATTTAATGATGGTAATATTAATAATATAGAATTTGTTATATTTTGAACGTGGTTTCTAATGATGATATTGATGTAAGAGAATGACATAATTACTCGAAGGTTTGAACAAATTGAATAATTCATATAATTAAATCAAATGATTCAAATCAAATGAGTCATTCAAATTAAATGAGTCATTCAAATTAAATGAATCATTCGAATAGAAACTCCAACTTTGTAACATTCATAAGGAATGGATTGAAAAGAACTTATATATTGATGATATAGACTTTTGGAGCCCAAACGAAGAACTTGTTTTAAATCAGGAATGAAGAATATGAAATTAGAAAAACCAATTAATTAACATGTTTGTTTATCTTTATATATTTTATAAAGATGTCGTTTTTTCATGATGCTCAAACGGATATTTTAAACTAGTAAATAATCGTTTACCTGCTTTATCAGAAGAAGACTATCATGTTGTAGATGGTGAGGATGGTAGTAATGACCATAGTGGCATCGGCTCATCGTGAATTATTAAAAAATCAGATCAAGGAACGATGATGATAATGATATTGGTAATAACACTAGTGATAAAAAGTTAATGGATAGAGAAAAACCATGACAATATTGTAGAAGTAGTTGGTGGTTGTGACGACGAGGAGAATGTGGTAATCATTCTATCTTATCTTTACAAAAGTCTCGAGAATTAAATGGTTTTATAAATCTTCAACACCGGAAAAGTTTCTATTCCTTACAACATTTAAAACCAAAAATTGATTGTATTCATGAGAATCAAATAATTCATTGAGACATCAAACCTGACAATGTGATATTTATGGATTCAACAAGTTAAATTAATTGATTTTAGGTAATTACAAGGAACAAATACAGATCAACACAAAAGATTTATCTGGATCATCACCCTATTATTATCTTGCTCTTGAACTTGTCAACGTATTAAAAAATATGACCTTGAGATTTACAACTGGTAAAACAGATATAATAGTGCAGCCATTTGGGTGAAGTTTATTTCCTTTGCAACTGATTCTACACGAAGTGCACCACCAAAGGATGTTATTAAACCAACATGTTTAAGATAATTTCTTGTCTCATCATCAGTGTTAAACCTTCACAAATTTTTCTTTTATTTGTTTTAATATCATCCTTTTTAAAACATTTTTAGTAACCCTTGTTAAACCCTCGTTAATATTACAACTACCAGTTTTATTATGTCTTTCAAGCAAATCTGGTTCTACTTTTTTATCTAAACGAATATTTTTATCACACCTATATATACATCTTGCAGTTTTTGAAACAATCGTTTTTTCCAACGAGATTTTATATAACCAAAAAAAAATAAATTTACCCAATTTTATAAAATATACACGATACTACATATTAATATGACCTTTTTGTTTCACCTATGATTTTCTTACCCACTTTTTCTATTTATTATATATCACACAAAAAAAAATAATAAAGCTTTAGTTGATCAATTATTAATTAGGAAATATGTGTTATTAAATATATAATTAAACATGTGCTATTCACAAGATATTCTAAAACATCATCAACAAAGCAATATTGATTTATAAAATAAAAAAATAATAAATTTTACAACTTTTTTTTTGTTTTTAAAAGCAAAATTATCATGGAAACTGCCACAAAGTCTACATCGTCAAATATAAACAAAATTATTAATAATAATAATGAAAAAAATGATAATGGTATTTATCAATCTATCTATCTATTTATTTTTTATTTTTTATCTTTTATAAAATTAATTTCAAAATTTATTCCAAAAATTTTTTTTTTTTAAGAATTGGTTTTATTGAATTCTCCTTCGAAGAATGACGAGTTCAGAGATAGATTTAATCAAAACATGGATAGAAAATTTTCTCTTGAAAGTAAAATTAATAAAAGAAATACGAATTCAAGTGGAATTGATGTGAAAAGCTTGGCACATTACATAACTAATCCTAAAGATTTACGAGAAGATTATCCAACATGGCATTACTTTTATCTTTGCACATTGATAGTTTTTGCATTCATCGCTTTGTTTATTATACCTGTTGTTTTTGGTATGCTGGCAATAATTGGTGGTATTGGCACTCCATTTATTTTATCAATTTTTGGGAGCTTCTTTGGTCTTTTCCTTGGAGCTGTATTCGGTGTTGTATTTGCAGTAGTTTGTATTATTCTCTTATTTAAGTCTGTTGGTTGTGCTGCTGAATGGGTCTTGGAGGCTCTTTCAAATGGCGGTAACGATTTAGTAGAAATTACTAAAGAACAAATTATTCAATTTATTAAAAATACTGATTAATTATCATTATCGTTGTCATTATCATCATCTTCTTCTTCATTATCACTATCATTATCATTAACATTATCATCATTATTATTATTAATTATTATTAATTATTATTATAAGTTATTAAAATTTATTAATGATATATAGTTTTCTTTACTGCGATTTTTAATCAATTCATATGTTCCTTTGGTCATTTGCAATATATGGCATGTGATTGTTTTGGGACTACAATTAGTTTTTAATATTATTTTGTTCATCATCTCTTATCATTGTGTTTATATTCCGAGTTTGAGGACTTGCATTTGGGTTCCGTCCAACTTCGATGATATTACTATTACTGCTCTGCGGCAAACTCTTAACCTTATTATTTTTTATATTCAGGTTTTGCTGTGTCACATGACAAAATAGTTTCGTGCAACCTAATTTGTGGTAAAATTCGGAAGATGCGTTTGTCTTGAAGTTAGAGCTTGTAGAATAATGATTATAATGATTCTATCAAATCCCTTCATTATACTTTTTTTTTTGGAATTTGCTTCTTTAAGTGTCGTTTGTAGTTGTTTAGCTTCATACAGTGCCTGGATAAAAAGTATTGGCCATCCCAAGTGCATAAAATTTCATGTTACTAAATTTCAAAGAATTTCGATTATCAACCAAAATCTTCAGTTTAAATCTAATATTTAGTTGGCTATCCATTTTTTTCAATGCATGCTTTCCATCAAATTTATTAACGAATATTTTCCCATTCTTCTTGTTCATTCTTGGCTTAAAATTATATTAGGCCATCTACGAAGTAGCATTTTCAGCTCTTTTCACAAGCGTTGTATAAAGACCAATTAATTATTCAAGAGATTGATTACTTGCAAAAAATATTCTAATTAAGATATTTGTGTAGTAGTGCTTTATATTTTATACCTAGAAAAGATTTAATCCATATACCATATGTTGTGCTGAGCTACTTGGGGGTAAATTAAAAATTAATACAAAGTGCACAAAAGAAACTGAATATTTATGTTGGCTGGAATAGTGTTGGTCGTCAAAACTATTTTGAAGAGATGAAAGTCAAAACTAAAATTAAAAGTTATATGTCAAAAATAAATCAAAAGTCAATAGTCAAAAATCAAAACTAGTTTCGACTTATGGCGAAACCTTTTGACTTTTGCACGGTTGTGAAACTCTCTAGTTTTGGAAACCAACACTAGGTTGGAAGTATTTGCAGACCATTCACCATTTGATGATAGAACCCATAATCGTTGTTTGATTTTGGATATATGTGAAGGTTTACAACCACCAATATTACTTGAAATGCCTGATGGTTATTCACAGATGATGCATCAAAAAGACCAACTATTGAAGAGCTTTCAGAGTTTGCTGAAAATAAGAAATTCTTGATAATAATAACAACAACAATAATAATAGTAATAGTAATAATAATAGTTTAATAAAAAGGTTATTCAAATTTTCTAAAATTAAAAAAACATGATAGCAGCAGCAGTGGTAGCAGTATACAAATCACATCCAGATACAAGTAGAATCTTAGATAAGGCTCTGAACGAATCAATGGAATTCAAACCAATTCGATTCAATTTGAATTCGAGTCACTTAATTTTTGATTCGTTTCATCCAATTCAAATTCGAATTCAAATTGATTTGATTCAATTCAAATGGATTCAAATATATAATTTGATACAATTCGAACTGATTCGAATATATAATTTGATACAATTCAAACTGATTAGAATATATAATTTGATTTGAACTGATTCAAACTGACTGGTTCGAATCTATAATAATATGATTTGAATCCATGATTTGAATCAAATACACTATATATAATAAATGAAAAATCTTTATTTTAATGTATATTTTATAATTTTATTTACAAAAATATTTTTTATTTTATATTTATTTATATATTATAAATATTGTAAAATTCAAAAAAAATTTTACCTGGTGCAATAATTGCATCTCTTGTTGAAGAAATTGAAGAAGTTGGAGAAGCACCAGTAATATTAGTACTTATTATTTTAATGAATTGTACAACTGTAAATCGTTACTTTTTACTCATTATTAATAATATAGGTCACATGACCATTATAATTAACATTAATATTAATATCAAGAAATCCGTTATCATTAAAAATTCCATATCAAGAAGAATTTTATTATCATTAAACCATTCTTAGACCTCAATTCATTAGTATTCATTAAATGGAGGCATACTAATTGAGATTCACTGTGTAATATAAATTTAAATTATCAAATTAAAAATATAAATTTAATATGACATTAAAAATTTTTTAGGAATCTGGTTTGATTCGAATCAATTTGAATCGAGTCATGAACCTAATCCTGTTTTTTTGAATTCGATTCGATTCGTTTCATTTGGAGCCTTTTTATATATATATATATATATATATATATATACTAATCAATAAAAGTTTGAAATAAATTTTTTGTGTTAATTTATAATATCTATCATCTAGCAAAGAGGTTTTAATCTCTTTTATGTAAAAATGTTACAGCAAAGAAAATATAAAGTTGTATGTTTTTGATTACACAAAAAACATTTAACCACTTCCTTCTGTGCTTTTAGCTGTTTCTTGTGATTCCCTGTAAAAAAGAAAAGGGAGACATTATAGAAACACTTATGCAACATAACAGTAATAAAATAAAGAGAATTGAATAATGAATGCCACTTACAGACAATTTTTTTTATTGCTACCTAGACCACTAACTTGCATTTGCAGGATAGAGGCAATATAATTAGTTATTTTCTTTGCATCTGACATATCATCACCATCAAACTTACAAAAATGAGGTCCAGATCTTCTAATTGAGAATTCTCTGGGGATCCAATCCATTTAAGAAAATACCATCCTAATGCATTTGTCACAATACTATATATTTGTACTTGAGGTTCAGGTTCCATATCTGTCTTATCTATCTTTCATTTTTTGTTTATTTCCTGAAAATGGAATATTAGATGTCAATAAGCAAACAATAGAAAACCGAATAATAGTACAATGTTCTGGGCAGCACCTTTCTCAAAATCCTCTTTTTTAGCTTCACAGACCAATAAAACAAATTCCTCAAGATGTACAGAATAGTCAACAGGACCAAAACCATGACTTCCATCAAGCCACTCTTCACTCTTGAGACAAAGCTTACTTTCTTTTAACTGGGCATGTTCAACAGTTGCAGTCATAAAAGCAGAAATAAACTCTCCACAGGTGCTCTCATTATGATTAATGTGAATAAAGGTCTTTTTCTTTCTCTTGAGTTCACTAATAAAGGAATTAACTATATCATCAGAAATTTCTGGATCTGGTTGTGTAAATTTTCCTGTTTAAAAAAAAAGCACATACATAGGTTATAAATCACTAATCCAAAATATGAAAACATTGCAAGAATGTTACCTATATCAAACTGATTGATGTCACCTACTGATTAAGGTTTCTGGTCCAAACTGTTTTCTCAAAGCCCAAACTAGTTTGGGCAATTTGGGCTTCTCAACATTTCCTATAAGCATCAACATTAAAAAACTATATGAATCAACTTGTTTTAACTTAAACAACTTTAAAATAATTTCACCCAATTTCGGCTAATAACAAAAAGTAGTTTGGGCTTATAAAAAAATAATTTTTGCCCAAAGTATTTGGGCAATTTCGGCTACTAATAGAAGCAGTTTCGACCAGAAACCTTACTACTGATGATCCACTCTTATGCAGGAACTTCTCAAAAACTTCACTTATTTCCCATTCTCCATATGCCTTCTTTCCTATAAAGAAAAGAAAACAAATGAGTATTCACTTCACTTCTGCATCTAATTTAAAAAAAAATTAACCAACCTTGAATTCGAATTGAAAGACTGATCTCATATTCACCACTTTCATTTGGTTTAATTTTCTCCATAGTTTATTGAATGAAAACTCATTCTTCACCACTTTTCTTTTTATCTCCTTTATAAATAAAAAAATATGAAAGGTTTCCTGCTCTCAAAGTTCCAAAGTTTGTTTCAGCTTCATGACATAGAAGACACCAAAGGCCACTTGTGTGTGAAAATCTACTCTTGAACCAGGATACAGATAAGTTGCAACAAACTATGACTACAAACAATATACAGATGGGTGTAAATGTGATGGGTGTATAGATTCGAAATCAAAAAGATAAATATGTTTTATTTTACCTTCAGAGCTAGAGAGTGGGTAACATACAACCAAATGACCTGCAGCAGTTGTGTTCAAAATTGTGACAAGTGTGTCTGCTTGGAGAGGGTTGATTCTGTCATCATGGTTAAAGAATTCAAGGAATTTTGGTTCGATGTTTTCAAAGGTTTTTTCTTCTTTACAAAGTTTACATGCAAGATTGTCCAAGTTTGGTGGTGAGGTGTTCCATTCAACAGGAAATTGTGTAGGTCTTGGACTGCATTTGACAAGAATCCAAAGTGTTAACTTCTCAGAACATAATGACATTGCTGAGGACGTTTGTGACATTTTTGTTTTATTTTACCTTCTAAATTTTTAAAAAGCAAAAGTTAATGTTAAGTGATAAAGTATATTTATTATCTTTTATTATTATTTAAGTACAATACTGTTTTGATTTTTAAATAATAATTTACAACATGTCCCCCAATTATTTAATTGGTCCTGTAATCATTCGTAGTACAAATGTTCACTTTTGGTTTTAATTCTTCTATTCAAAAAAAATGACTAAAAGACTAAAAATACATAAATCAAATGATGAATTTTTATCCATTCTTCGTGAACCCAAACCTAATTTGGCGCCACGCTCTATAAAATCAGTAGAAGATGCGATTGATAGAACCCCAGAATATACAGCCTTCATAAAAAGTCTTGAAGAGTTCCATAAAGATCACGGGTAAATAAAAATAAATAAATCTTTCTTTTTTTTTGCAAGAACCATGTAGGCTTATATATATGTATGTGTGTGTATATTATTCTCTACAATAAATAGAACTACTTTTCAAAAAGAACCTGTTTTAGGATCAAAGAAATTAGATCTGTATAAAATTTATCAAATGGTGATTGCTGAGGGGGGTTGTGAAAGAATATGCGCAGAGAAATCATGGAAAAAAATATGCGAACCTTTTAATTTTCCACAAACTTGCACAAATAGTGCTTTTGTGATGAAAAATATTTATATAAGATTCTTGGAACCATATGAATTAGAACATTTTTGGGGTAAAAAAGTTCCTTATGGTGGAATTCCTGGAAAACAAATATCTTCGCCACAGATATCACAACAACATCAACAACAACAACATTATCACCTTAATGATACCCCACATTTTGCGCCACAAACAACTCCTGTTCCATCAAATCGAGCTTTAAAGATTGTACCATATGAAATTCCAAGAAATGAATGTAAGATAATTGACAATACCATTTTGTATATTTTTATTTTTATTTTTATTTTTGTGAATGTAAATACTCAATACTAATGACATTAATAATTTTAATAAGACTATATTAATCCAACACAAAGAATGCTTTACAGCCTACCAATGGGTTTTAATATGGGAATGAGAGATGATTCAGATGATGAAAAAGGCAAATCATATTTATTATTATTATTATTTTATAATTACGCTTTATTATTTTTCAACCTAATAATTAATTTGATTATCTATTTAATTATTTATGAATTACAGATTCAATTTTGAGTGGAGGTCATTTAAATAGGATACTTCTTGCTTTGAAATCACAACTAGCCAATGAAATAGATTGGGCATTAGATACTTTACTAAAAGTATCTATAGACCAAATGATCAAATTCAAATTAGACAAAATCCCAGAACTTTTAGATATATTTCTTACACATTTAAGCAATTTTTACACACAAGTAACAGATTTGTATGAGGCAAATCAGCATTCAACAGAATCAACGGTTGATGACTATTTTAATGATTTGAATAATTATTTACATTTACAAAGAGCAACTCAAATATTTTTAATTTTAAGGAATTTGTCTTTTTATAATTATAATGCTGAACTGATGTCTTTCAACAAATTGGTACAAAAATTTGTGATGGAGGCACTCACGCTACCAGCATTTTTAAAATTTCCTCAAATTAGAATTTATTGTATAGAGATTATTAAAAGCATGAGTCATATTATTAAATTAAATAGTAGTGAGGATGAGCTTTTGGTAGTTTTACGAAGACTTATCTTTTCGGATGATATTGCATTGGTTATACACAGTATCACAGCAATGTCGTGTTTGGCTGGAAATGAACAAAACTCCGAATTTATTAAAGATGTTGATTCTCGTGCTGTGCAACATTTAGTAAATCTGCTTTTGATAGATGATGACGAAGAGTTGAGTAAGGCCGTTTTAGAGTTGTTGTATTATTTGTCTACTTCTGAGGAAACAGCATCTCGTATGGTAGAGTATGCCCCAGGAAACCTTGTACGTCTTTTGATCGGTTATTTAAGGCATGGTTCAAGTGTGGAATCTCAAATTCATGAAAGGATACCCCCAATTGAAAGAAGGCCACCCCAATTACATGGTGATTTTGAAAGTCTTATGGAACCGTATAGATCTTTAGAATGGTATATAATTGAATTTGTATGATTTGTCGGTTTGGTATTTTAATATACAATTAACAATTTTTTAATATTCATAATGATAATAATAGGCTCAGAACTGCATATGAAGAATCACCATTTGATGGAGTTTTACAAACAGATATATGGTTTGCTTATCGTGATCAATTCCAAAATTCTCAATGTCCTATGATGCCAGCGGCAGAAGTTATTAAACTTGTTAATCGTGTATTTCCAGATTCTTCTGCGATCATGGTTACAGCATCGGATGGATCATACAAATATATGATTCAAGGTATTAGACCAATACTATCAAAAGATGAAATTCAACAAGACAATCCATTGTACAATTGTAAATGGGCTGATTGTCAAGAAGCATCTTTCGAAGATGAAAGTAAATTGATGGAACATTTAGTTATTGAGCATTTATCAGAAAGGAAACAGTATACATGTAATTGGTTGAATTGTAACAGATTTTCATCTGGCACAGAAAATATCACAACCGTCATAGCTCACTTGAAAACTCATTTCCCTATTCAACCAGAAGATGAAGATAGTAAAAAACACAAGAGAAGACCAGATATTGTAAATAAATATGGTAGAAATAATGGAATTTACACTTATAAAACTTATGTTAAATCAGACAATATCGGGGATGCTATTGGAATTCCATTATTAGCCTCGTTAGTTTTAAGAAATTTATCTTTATCATCAGCAAACCTTCAACATTTTGTTGCGTATGAAAAAGATTTAGCAGAAATGCTTACAAGTTGTGTTGCATTATCAAAGAACTTAGCTGAAACTTTGAGTAACATGCGAGCAATTTAATTATTTTTTTTAAAAAAATATAGATTAATCATACTTTCTTACACAATATAACATAATATAACATTAGATATATAAAGTTTAATAAATAAAACCTAATTAATACAAATATACTATTGATGAAAAAAATTTTCTTACCTCAAAAACGCACTATTATAATCAATTAATCTTTACCTGAAATAGTATTGTCGTCATATTCATCATGAATCAAAACGTAATCTCTACTACTAAATCCAAATTTCAATACATCAGAAGGAAACAATTCGACATATCTTGAAGGTGGAATAGGTTTTTTATTAACAAAAGTTGAATTTGTTGATTCAAGATCAATTATATAAGGTTTTATTTCATATTTGGATTCTCCTGTTGTTTTATCTTTTACTAGTACTTCACGAAATTGTAATGCTGCGTGTTGACTAGAACATGAAGGGTGATCAATTGGAATGTCAGCAACCTAACATTATAACAAACAATTAAATCTAATGGGAGGAAGGAAGTCAACACCATATAAAAACATTGAATATAATGTCAATAGTACCTACCTTTCTTTCACGGCCTAATAAATATGCACTTTGTCGATGTATATGAAGAACATCTATTAAATACACTTCAGATGAATCACATTGTGTGTATATATATTCAGTTATGTACATATAAAAAAGTTTCAATACCTATTTGTTGATCCCCTTTGAAAACATAAAGTCTCCATTTTTTTGTTGGCAATTTTGCTTCTGGTGGTTCATAATATTTTAATACGACACCATTAAATGAATTTGTTTCCGCTGCAAGTTTCCCTGATAATTCAAAATTAGGTTTTGCTACTACTGTTGGTGCTGTATCTTCTTCATTCCGTTTTTTATTTTTAGAGGTAGAATCCATAATAATAATGATTATGTTGTTGATCAATTTAAAATAAATACATATGCTTTATGCAGATCACGACGATGTTTGATATAATTTTTTTTTTTTGAAAATAATAATATAAAATGGCAAATGCTAATAATGCCTCTTTAACGATCATGACAGGTGACGAGGAGTTGGACAGACAAACTGAATCATTACTTATAAAAGTTCAAAAGACAATTGATGATCTTGATAGTAGCTTTGAAGAAATAGAAGGTTTAGTAAAAACATTACACGAACAACCATTAAGTCAACTAGCTTCAGCTATGGAACCAATTCAACGTGCAAGGTTATACACATTATATGGATATACAATAAATACATTAACTAACAGTGAGTTATATATACCTATATATGGTTTAGGCATAAAATAATTTTCATTGATTTTGTTATTGATTAAATTTATTTGATTTATTAGTTTATTTAGAACTTCAAAACCAAAATCCAAACGCAAAGACAAAGCTTATAGAAGAACAATTGGTGATTGATATCAAAAATTTTTTTTTTGATTTTATTATTTATTAAAAAAACCCATTTTTACTTAAAAAATAACAACAACAACAATAATAATAATTCAAAAGGCACGGATAGAAGATGCTTCTGTAAAAATTACAAACACAGTTGATCCACCAAAACCAACATTGACTATTGATCGTGTAGCAGCTTCAAGATTTATAAAAAATGCCGTTTCAAAGCAAAATAAAAAAGACGAAAGAAAAAAAAGATGTACGTAAACTTGTATTTATATCATAAATACATACACACATTAATAAACTAATTTTTTATGTATGGGCTTTTTTACAAACAGGATTCCCTAGATGATTTAAATAAACAAGTAATTTAATTTTCAGCATAATTATCATTTATCATTTCTCAATAATAATAAATTGCTTGATTATAGAAGAAGATAAAGAAACAAATAATTAAAAAAATTTATAACCCTAATTAATAATCATTATTATATTAAAGCTAAGATTGATTATTATTATAATTATTTTAGGTTCAAATAAGATCTTGTAGCAAATTTTCTCAAATAAATATTGATTGATTGGCCATGTCGGTCGGTATGGGTATAGCGTGATAGGAGACAATGACAATTTATAAATAAGCAAAAAGGAGTTTATTCATTTATTATTTTGATTTTCGATTTAGATTCCAAAGTATTAGTGTTAGTGTTAGTGTGATTGGTATTAGTGTTAGCATTAGCATCAGGTATTAGATTTCGAATTATATTCACCCAAAAAAATTTTTTTTCCCACCTCTCTCCGTAAGATTCTGTTGCCCAACTATTGAGGTCGAACGCTTATTACTCATCATATGATGGCATTTATTATTCCATATGGCAGTCATCGTCATCGTCATCATCATCATCATCATCATCATCACCATTCATGATCATCACTCATGATCATCATCGTCATCATTGTCATCATCATCATCATCATCACCATCATCACCACATCATCATCACCATAGCTCTTTTTTGCTCCCTTTGTCAGGAAGGCAGAAAACCAATGGTACATATGACAATGAGACCGAGTGAAGGTTTTGATGATGAAGCGAACTAACTAATTTTAGTAATAGTAATAGTAACAAAGTAAAAAAACTGATCAAAATTAGTAGTAATAAAGTGGTAGTTATAATTTTTTGGTATAGTTCTTTTGAACGTGGCTATTTGATTGGTTGTACTATATATATATAATAATATCACTCACCTCCTGATAAGCCAACCACTCGTGTAATTAATTAATTTTTTTTTTTAAACAATACTGATGTTCGTGTAACTTCCAACACATTTGCCAAAAAAAAAGCTTGTAAAACCTTTTGTTCTCCCAACATATATATTTTTTTCAAATAAATACTTCAAAAGAATGCCGGTGTGTACATCTTGCCATCAAACCAAACAGGATGGAGCTTTTTTTCACAAAAATAAAAAATGGAAAACTTGTCAGCACTGTATCGAGCAACGAGCTCTCAAGAAACAAAATTTAAAAAGAAAACGTGAAGAAGAAGGAGCTGCTAATGTACGAGCCCCTCTTAAGGCTTTAGGTTTTATGGAGTTATCAGCTCACGTTGCTGCTGAAATCAAGACATTTCTTGCAAATTCTACTTCTGATCCTGGTGGAAATCCTCCATGTGCAGCTTTAAATTTACGAATTGCTTTAAACATTTCTAATGAAATTACTGGTAACGAGAAACCTAAAGATATTGCACGTTTGATAGTTGAAGAAGTAGAAAGAGCTGATGAATATAATTGGACGTAAGTGCAATCATCACTTATAGATTATTCGTAACATTTTATTCATTTTCAAACCTTTTTTTTTTTTTCAATATTTAAACAATAAATGAAAATTTTATTTAATCAATTAGTTATAACTGTATGAATACTTCAATGCGTCATAAAGATGTTGCCAAATTTTATTATGTCTGTAGTCAGTCTATTGTATCAATGAAAGAGCACAAAGAAGGATCGAATAGAAAACGAATGGAACGCTTTCCTTGTCAAGGAAAAATGCAAATGAAAATTGATTTGCCTGCTGGAGAAGCAATGTTAGAGATCAGCCATGCCTTACTTCATGGCAAACCTGCGATCAACTCAGAGATCGGTGAAGAATGTAGAAAAGAAATCGAAGAAAATGTTCTTTTGGATCCTATTCAACTTCGTCAATTACTGAGAGTAAAAGGCTTGATGAAAAATTATACATCAAGACAGATCCATACCTACTGGGAGGGGGTTGCTTCGTTAAAAGTACCTAGTCTTGTTACTCGATATTCCGTCGTTTCACCTGAACAATTTAACCCACAAGGATTCAGCCAATCCTTAACCACTACTGATAATACTAATATTATCGACGCTACCGCCACAGGTACAAACAACACAATCAATTCTAATCTCACAGTACCAATTATTCATAATAATTATATTGTTCCATCAATCCCTACATACCAACCTTTTGCTCAATTATCTTTAGTAAACAATCCAACACTACCATCTGAAACTTTAGATAGTAAAGAAAAAACTGATCAAGGGTTAAATCGTGAACAACATGCTGAATATGTTAATAAGCTAGAGAAATTTACAAAAAGAGTCAGAAATCAATTAGATCAAGGAAATTACGTTTGGTTGGATACTGTCAGAATAATGACAGCGGGTATTATTCAAATGGAAAATGATATAGAAGAATTGGTGAGACAAAGAGACGACAACGATAGGGTTAGAAAGCCGTGGACATTACATTATAAATGAATGTTCTCTGAGAGTTTTCGATTACCATCGTTCATTACATCTTTAAAAAAATTATTATTATGAACAGGAGAATTTATATATATATAAAATAATCAGGTGAGAACAATGATGTAATGTGTAGAATATGCAAAATATGTATGTGTAATTTTTATTTATCCTAATAAAGAATCGATAATTTTTCAGTTTTGTTTGTTCGATTACATAATATTAAGTTTTAATATTTAATTATAATCAGGATTTGCTGTTTCACGAAATTAATCGCGTTGTATGTAATTTCGGTAGCTCTCCCCCCCCAGAAATCAAAAAAATTTTTTGTGATACAACCTATTTAACTGTTGTTTTTTATTAACAGTCGAATTTTAAAAAGTTTTATTTATTATCAGAACAAACAACTTACGTGAAGAGAAAATTTTTTTTAAAAAAAAATTAAAATTAAAATGCTCGCAACAACCCTCACTTCGTTCAAAGTTGTGGAAAAAATAGACGATCTACTCACTGACATTCTTATAGATCAACTATTCTTATGGTTTAACACATTTAAACTGAATCCTAATTATGAAATGGTCGACGTTTCATCTGAGGTCATTCTTGGCATCATCAGAAAAAATGTACTTGAAAAGGTCAAATTAGACCAGGCGTGCGAAGAATTATTAAGGTTAATAGAATTACTTTGATCATACACGAAAAAATGTCATCTAGTACATATAACACCATCGCCAAAAATACTCTCATATAATATATACATTTCAGTTAACAAAAGTTCAAATACTCGTGTATATTCTATAATTGTGGTTAAATAATTTTTTTTCGCTGCGCAAATCCACACATGCATTAGTTAATTGTGAATTTTATATTTAACTTGAACACACTATAGAATCCCTGCTATTAGAAATGTGGTACAATCAACTTTAGACGAGCTCACTTTCTTCAAGTAATCTAATTTCATAACACGATCGTTTATTTCCAGTCAAGTCAACTTCTAAATAAGCATAACATAATACATATATTGATTGTTTCTTTTATTTCAATAATAGCCACGCAAAAAGATATTTACAAATGTATCAGGCAAATGCTGGATATGAAATCACTGAAACAAAAAGGTATCTTGGATCTTCTAAAAGGGAAGCGTGCATAGTTGCAACAAAAGATTTCAATGAAGGGGATGAGCTTCGCTTGTGTATCGGTGCATTAGTTCCTCTCACATCACATGAAGAAAATAAATTAGAAGGCGGAAGGGATTTTAGTATAATGTGGTCCCAGAGAAAAGATGTAATGTGCTTGTTATTAGGTCCAGCACGATTCATGAATGTAAGCTATATACGTATTATATTTGTGTATTAATCTTATATTTGTGTATTAATCACGTGATTTGTTTAATAATAATCCTTATTGTTGGCAATTAATTAATAAATAAAATAGCACGATTGTAAGCCAAACACTACATTCATTGCAGCTGGACAAAATGTGATCTCATTTAAATTCACCAGAAGTGTTAAAATTGGCGAAGAATTGACTTCATACTATGGTGATGACTATTTTGGTGAAGGAAATTGTGAATGTCTTTGTGCTACATGCGAACGTCTTAAAAAAGGTGGATATAAACCAGAATCTGCAATTCCTGATGAAGAAAATATTGGCTCCATCAACAGAGTTGTATATAATGATGGAATAGGTAAAGTAGTACGTCGCAGTGCACGGAACCATACCAATAATAATCATAGTGGTAAGTCGTCATTGTTGTTGTTGTTGTTGATTTAGTGATTACATTGTATCAATTATATGATTTGTAATTAATAATTTTATAACATAATAGAAACACCTTTAATTCAAAGTCAAATAGTCACTCCAAGGCCTATAATTGACAGTGTTGCTGATAATCACCAAGACGAAGCGAATCTTATTGACATGGATATGGACATCGATCGTGACTCTCCAAGAACAGAAATCGAAGAAAGTGACCATAACTACTCTCCAACGATGTTGTCAGATAAATCAACCGATAATGTTGCTACAGCCCTCACCTCTGACCAAAGCTTTAATTACAACAGCACAATCCACCGAATTCCAAACAATGTTACTGGTTCGCATTCATCTATCCTTTTGAGTCACATGGGTTTGATGAGTCTAAAACAAGTCAACGAAGATCTGAAATGTTCTAGCGCCAAAAACGTTCACCGTCGTGTTCCTGATACAAATCAAAAGAACCTACCGGGTCTGGATCCTATAGTTTCATATGGTACCATTTCGGAGAGTGCGAGCAATATAATTAGTAATGCAGGATATCATGGTTGGTCTGGTAGTCGAATCCCATTTCGACCATTGATAAGAATTCTTAATGGAGTTCAAATAATGGTAAAAAAAACTCATGCTAGCGATAAATCCAACTCTCCTAAAAATGTTATGTCAAGTACTGGTGCTGTTACTAGTGATGTCACCGCTGCTGCCGCCGATGTCAATGATCAAGAAACCAAATTGACAAGAAAATGGTGTAGGATATGTGATGACATGTTCGAATCAAGTAAAAATACAATGAGATGTTTAAGATGTACTCGACATTTAAAATTATTCACACTTGATTGGCCATGTCGTAGATTGAAAAGAACAAGAAAGGATGACAATCAAAAAACAACAACCAAAGCTGACAGTTCGGAAGGTTCAGCATCACGTCCTGTCAAAAGATTCAAAGCTGATATAACAATGGATCATCAACAAATATCGGGCACAGATAGAACTGACTGGTCACCATATCCGATAGAAAATATCGATGTTAAAATTATCAAGTACAAACGTGCAAATGGTCAAGTCAGTCATGGTAAGTCTTATAATATAATAAATAATTTAATTGATTTGATCCGATAAAATCCATTTATTATTTATGATTATTAACAATATATATTCTTGTTTCTTGTTAAATCAAATTAGCTTATGAGTATTGCTACAATGAAAATTTTGTAAGATGGGATAAGGACAGTGGTTTTGTCCATCTTAACCCTTTGAAAAGATCCTTTAAAAATTCATTGAGAAATTTGGAAAAGTTGAAATGTTGGGATCAAACATGGAATTCAAGAAGACACATAATCATTGGTGGAAATATCAAATATCAAGGTACCTGGTTACCTTATGACCTTACAAAAAAGTTGTCAATTGAAATGATTGGCGAAAACGAAGCCTTTTTAATACCGTTATTTGGACCCAACTATGGACAAGAAAATTAAAAACACATTCAAGCTTGATTTCTGCAAAAAAAAAAACCATCGCCAGCGGGAACACCTTAACCATTATCATTATTAGATGAAAACTTTATTTAGCAGCAACAATATTGTAAAAAAATTATCCAAAGGTCCATCAATTTAATTAAATGAATGGGCTATTTTTTGTACATATAATTATTTTAAAATCATTTAATTTTAATATATAATTTATATCTATGTATATACGCATTTAATATTTATTTATAGAATTTTAGATTCAAAAATTAAAAATAAAATATATATATTATTTGTTTTTATTGCTACAATTAATTATTAAAAATTCAATTGTATATTTAATTTTTCATTAAGTTGGTTGTTATTAGAATTAGAATTAACCAAACATATTAAATAAATTAATTTAAATTACATTCAAATTTAAAGTTTATAAGATTTTTATGGTCATTAGGCTCAATAGTATCAAATTATTAAATAATAACGACAATAAATAATCAAGAATTAAGAATTAGAATTAACCAAAAATGACAATAAATCAACTTTAGTTACAACATGTTTAGGAATTAACACACCATCTTCTCCTCGCTCAGTCACTACAGCAGAACTATTTGTTTCAAAAAATTTAGTTAACTTTTCTAACGGTGTATCGGATGTAATTTCTTCGAAATTTTTATTCCTAATAAATTTAAACATAATTTTTTCAACTGGTGATTCAGATGTTGCCATTCCCTTGGATAGTCTTGATAATAAATTACCAAGAGTAATAAGTCCAATTAGTATATTATTTTGGGACGCGGTAACAGGTAGTTGATCAAATCCATTTTTTTGTAGTATCTCAATAGCTTCTTTACATGACGATTTTGAATCTATAGTTATAGCCAGTTTCAACTTGAGATCTTTAATAGTTGCACCTCCCCATTTTTGAACCTTGATCTCCTCTTCTTTTTTGGTTACTTCATCGACAAATCCATGTGATTTCATCCAATCGTCATTCAAAAATTTTGACATATAGTTGCGCACACTATCTGCTAAAAGCACTACACATCGCTGTCCCTTTTTCATTGATTTGGCTACTTTGATAGCTGCACACATTGCTGATCCAGATGAACCACCACAAAGAAGGCCTTCTTCTCGAATCAATCTACGTGACATTATAAACGAATCTTTATCATTTGATTTGACCCATTCGTCAATTAAACTTCTATCAAGTGCTTCAGGAACAAAATCATATCCTATACCTTCAACCTATATATATATATATAAAATTAAATATAAAATTATTTTTCCTATTATTAAAGATGTACATATTCTTTAAAAAATTTATTATTTTACCAAATATGATCCGACTTCAGTTGAATCATCAATTTCAGCAAGTAAAGATCCTTCAGGATCCACACCAATTATTTTAGTACCAGCACTTTTTTCTTTTAATTTTCTAGCAATTCCTGTTAAAGTTCCACCAGTGCCCGCACCAGCAACAAAAACATCAATTTTCCCATCACAAGATTTTAAAATTTCTTCGGCTGTGTGATCATAATGAGCTATTGGATTATATGGATTTTTATATTGATCCAATATAACAGAATTTGGAATTTCTTTGTTGAGCCTATTTGCCACTCCTATATGTGATTCAGGCGAATCCCAAGCTGCTTCAGTTGGAGTACGAACAATTTCTGCTCCAAGAGCTTTAAGTACATCAACCTAAATTTTAAAATTTATAATAGTATATTAAAACTTAACAAATAAAATTCTTTTTTTCTCTTAATATCCACTACCTTTTCTTGACTCATTTTTTCTGGCAAAGTGATGACAGTACGGTAGCCTTTTATAGCAGCAGTCAAAGCGAGTCCAATTCCAGTATTACCAGAAGTTGGTTCAATAATTGTATAACCAGGCTTTAATATTCCTTCCTTCTCAGCCTCTTCAATCATGCGTTTGCCAATTCTATCTTTAACTGATCCCCCGGCATTGAAGAATTCACATTTTGCCACTATTGTTTATTTACAAAGAAGATTTTTAAATATAAATATAAATAAGAATAAATAAATATGATATATTTACATATTTCACATTCGATTCCCTCCGCTTTTGTAATATTATTAATTCTAACAAGTGGAGTATTCCCAATATGATCAAGAATTGTATCAAGAATTAAAGGTTCTGGTACACTATATATGTTATATCAGGTTGTTATCATATAAAAGACATTATAATGATATATATAGATAGTAAAACAAAACTTTACTGACTGTTCTTCATAATTGTGTGGACAAGGTAAAGTAGTTTTAGGAGTCCAGGTGCATTTACTCATGGTGATTATTTTTATTACTAATAAATAATTGTTTTATTTTATTACTGGTAAATGTTTTTGGTAAATGTTTTATTTTTATTACTAATATTATTATTACTAGTAAATGTTTATATTATGATCGATATTTTTACTTTGTGCATGCATTATTTATTTATTTATAATTTGTTCAAGTTGGGAAATTATTACAGGGCCGGGAAAACTATTGAATGTCACCCGCCAACACTATTACCATCACTATGATTTGAAAGAGGAAAGGTGACCGCGACACTATAATTCGGATTAATACTAATATAGAATTAAATTTAAATTCAAATAAGGAAAAGAATCACGCCATAGGAATTACTATTACTTGCCTTTTTCGTTTTATTCGTTTTATTCGCTTTATTCGCTTTATTCGAATTATTTTTTACTCAATTATTTGCTCAAATTATTCAAATTATTTTTTACTCAAATTATTTGTTTTATTCGTTTTACTCGAATTCTTTTTCCCTAACTACTACTAAAGATTATGATATTATTTTAGTACAAAGAGCTTTAGAAATAAAGATTTAACCAATAACTTAATTACAATATAAAAGAGTTATTGATTTATTAAATTAAGCCAATAATTAACTAAAAAAATAGGATTAATTTTAAAAGAATATCTGATAAATATTGGTGCTTTCAATATTTACTAATAGGCTTTTAGACTATATGATAAAAATACTAAGAATATTATTAACTTATGAGTATACCAATACCTTGATTATTTTTTTAAAGAATTATCAGATTCTGATATTTACTGATACAGTCAACCCTCCATAAGTGCACCCCCCTTGGGAATGGACAAGACCGTGCATTTATGGAGGGATGCATTTAGGG